TCAAAGATAAAACAAATGATTCATTCACTCACTGACAAATATTTCTTGAAAGGCCAACTTTGTGCCAGGCACTGAATCTGATGCTAAGGATATACCAGCAAACAAAAGAGACAAAGATCACAAAACTTACATTCTTATGGAGTGGGGTTGAGGTGGGGAGTGGGGGATAAAGGTGATCTGGGTAGGTGGCTTCATTGAGAAGGTAACATTTAAGCAATGATTTGGGGGTGAAGTGTCAGTATATCAGGGAGAGGAAACAGTAAGTGGGGAAAAAACAGGTGGAGAAGCAAGCGTGGCATGTTGGAGGAACATCAAGGATGCCCAATAGGTTAGTAGAAGAGAAGGGGCCTGTGTTGCTGAGTCAGAAAGGACTTAATGGGTGTGCGCTGGATTTGGGGTTGGTATCTGTGTGTCAGGCACATGTTAAACACCTAAACTCACTCCATGGAGTCCATTTTGACTCACAGTGACCCTAGAAATGGCAGAAAGTCTTGTCTTTCTCCCACAGAGAGACTGGTGGCTTCAAGTGGAGGATCTGGGCTAACACCCTATGCATAACTACTGCGCACTAGGACGCCACAAAACATTTAATATCAACTCACAAAATTCTGTGAGATAGACATGACGATGCCAAGATCAAACAGCTCTGCCTGATTCCTTTATCCTAGGATGCATCGCGTTACCACTAAGAGAAAAACAGTCTTCTACTGCAGTTCGCCAGTGTCGGGTGTGGAATCTATAGCATTGCTATGTGGTTGTTAGGGACCATCACGTCAGTTCCGACCCACAGCAACCCTATGTACGACAGAATGAATTACTACCCAATCCTGTGCCAGCCTTCTAGTTGCTCCTATGTTTGAACCTACTGCTGCAGATACTGTGTAAATTCATCTAGCCAAGGGGCTTCCTCTTTTTAGCTGCCCCGCTGAGTTATAGTAAATTAATATGGTCCTTCCAGCCATAATCCCTTAAGTGATATAATTCTGGATTTCATACATCCATGACTATAGTCCCATTGTGGAGGGTGTTATCTGCTAAGAACAGGAATAGGATGAAATTAAGATCTGACCTTGGTAGTGAGTGTGAGTCAAGGAACACTTTTTGTTTAACGGTTATCCTGATTACTGTTACTTGTAATAGATGTAAGGAATGATATGCTAGAGCTGAGAGGAGAAAAGTTGCTTTTGGAGTAGCCTGGGGAAAAGGCTGGCTCATTAAGATTAGTAGGAGGCCCACAAGAATACTTTCTTCTAGTAAATTGGCATTCTATGATGCTCACCTTCCTGACACAACCGCTGAAAACAAAGCGGGTGAATAAGCAAATGTGGTGAAGAAAGCTGATGGTGCCCGGCTATCAAAAGATATAGCGTCTGGGGTCTTAAAAGCTTGAA